AGGTGGTGGATGGTCTTCCTCAGTTGTCCTGTGGGCAAGAGATCTCATGAGATCTCATGAGAAGTTTGGGGATCTCATGGCTTTTGGTATTTGCCAGTATCTGCCCCTGTCCGCCACGCGCACGGTCCTCAAGGCCAAATTTTTTTTTGGATTTTTTCATCATTTCTGCAAGAGACAGTACCTGGCTGGGGTGACATTACCTTGAGACCTCGCACACATTGTATGTACAGTAGATTTCAAAAGTCTTGAAATCCACTTGTTTTCAAAATTGACTGGTGGTCTGTGCGTCCGGCAATAAAGTTGAGATTAGTTGTGACGTCTGTCAAACTTACACGCCACATCCAACAATATGCGGAAGCAGAGCTTAAAAAATCAATCATCAAATCTATGGTTTCTTTGTCTCCATCAACTATTGGTGTCCAAATGGTGACAAGCTGCAGTATATCCATTCCGCGCTGGATTGAGCGAAGTCGGTGTTTGACTTGCTCTTTCCTTTTGTTACCACTGATTTTTTTTGTCAAGTCATTAATAACCAATAGCACCTAATCATGGACAAAGACAATCAACGCCTGCATCTTATTCTCATCATTTTGTTCCACCACAACAAGCAAAAAAAGGACATGTAAAACAAAAATTAACATTTAGAGACAAAAGCAGACTCAAACTTGGGTAGTTTGCCTGGTGGCGAGCATGATTGCAATGAGAACAAACACTCATGCCGCTGCGTCACAGCGCTTTCTTGTTGTTCCATATTTTTTGCTATCAGTACGACTACACCTCAGGAATATATATGTATAAATATTAGATCTGACATGTAAGTTTGACAGATGTCACAATTAATCTCAACTATACTGCCTGGCGCACGGACCATCTCTCAAGTTTGAAAACAAGTGGATTTCAAGACTTTTGAAATCTACTGTATGCAGGATGTCTTAGAGTTGTGTAGTGGTAGAACACATATATTGTAGAGGGAAGGTTTAGAGTCCGTTTGGCTGCCTTTGACCTTACTGGCGTAGACTTGTGAGGTGTCTGCCTGCGGATCCGCAGGTAGACCATGTCTGCCACGAGGCGTGTACCAGGGTTTGGTGCATTCGGTACACTCGACTTGAAGTGTACTTGACCTCAAAACTTATGGGTTTTCTCCCTTTGCAAAATCTGATGTCGCGCTCCTGGTTTCAAGTCTATGGGACTAGCCAGGTCAACCTGCGAGATTTGACCAAAACGTCAAACCTGGCTGGCCAACAAATTTGGCTGGCCGACCTGGAGGTAGACACCTCAAAGGTTGCCCGCGGCTTCTGTACCAAACAGCAGAACTTCATGCGTACGCTTCAAACTGCCTCGAAGTGTACGCCTGAGATTTTGGCTGGGCCAACCTGCGAGGTCGGAGGCAACTGAACGGACTCTTATTCTAAAACCTCATGAGAATTACACAACGTCAATTTTTTAGGTTTGAAATAGAGCTCAAAGATACAAGTCGCTGTAAGTACCCCATAACTTGACCATACTCTTGTAGTAAATGGACGCAGCAATTTCCATACGCAAACAAACAATGCAGCACAACCCAGATGAATCCATAGCAACGTACTCCAATCAAGAAATAGGACTTCATGTGAACCCAGTATCAAAATGAACGAAACACAAGATAAAGGGGAAAAAATAGCTGCCTTCCTAGATCGTGAAGATTAGCATCTCATGTTCCTGGGATCCTAGATCAGGTCAAGTACAGTATAGCCAGACTATGCAAGGTCGCCTGTCAGAATGGGTGAACAAGTATCAACTTGCTGGGGTGTCCGCAGGAATTGACAGGCTTTCGGGAACGATGTGCTGTTGTGGTAAGCCATTATTAAGAGGCACAGCCACGGCTGGAGCTTGATGCTCTACCGGGATAGGTGAGAAAGGGTTAGCAGCTGCTAGGTACTCCGATCCAGATAATTGTGATGTCATGTCCAGAGGTGCCTCAGCCGTGTCGACCCCAGCTTGAAGGATGGGAGTCGAGGCAGGCAAAACAGGCGCGTCCCTATTCGACCACTCCCAGATGATGGTGAGCTGGGTACCGTGCGGCAAGATATACAGGTTGAAGAGAATGACGAACGCACCAGGTGATCTTGAAGCGGGTGACTCGGGGTTTTTCAGCAAGGACATTACGCATCAGTTTACTGATGACAGGTGGGTTTGGACGCGATTTGATCATTTCCTCGTTAATCACTTCCGAGTCGGAGTAGAGTGCGCGCAGTTGAGGGTCATCATACTCGGTATTGACATAATAGCCGACGCGAACAAATTCCTTGTTTTTGTAAGAGGCCGTGAGGAGGATTACAGTGACGCCGACGAGCTCCTGGGAAGGGATACGGGAAGGATCTGGAGCTGCTGCCTAAAAAACGCACCTCGTTGGCTTTTTGGCCCTTCTACGGAATGACATCGGACAAGTGCCAAAGGCATGTGACGTACCTCAAATGCAAAACTGTTGACGCCTACTGGAACTGGACCGACCATGCAGGTGTCGAGCTCTTGATCCTTATCGGTACTTTCTGCTGAGCCCACGTAAATCAGCTTCCATTCAATATCTACATCCCCAAAAAAACGTAAAGGGCTGCTAGTCAAAATTCTGCGTTCGGCAACCAGCGCTGCAGGAATGAATGATATACCATCCTCGAGTGGCGCGATGCATTCAAATGTGATTTTGAATCGATAAGGGTCTGTAAACTTTGCAGGATTTTGAAGGACGGAGACACTGGCTGACAGAATTGAAAGAATACACTTGTGAGCACATGACCGAAGTAGTGGCCGTCCAATATAAAAGCGTCACTGACTGATGTTGACGATGGACATGGCGCGAGGGGTAAAGCTCAAAAGGTACAATCGATGTTGGAAACTGGTCGACCGCGATTTCTTTGCTTTGTCTTCGGTTGAGACAGGGGTATGTTTGGCAGTAAGTGTGCCTTGACGGAGCGCGCGGGCACTCAGTTACTTGAGCGACACCGGGCTAGCTTAACACAAGCCCTCTCTGCGCGGCCACGTCGGTACCGAGGAAAAAAACTGGTCACTACAGTTGTTCAAGGCTAGTCTCGATGGTTTTTAGGCACTCAAAACATCACAGCTTCCTTAATCAATAAATCATCGCAACAAAACCCCAAAAACCCACCATCATGCCTCAAAAGCGTCCACCAGATACTGGTGGAGAGGATCCAGGCCCACCCACCAAAAATCCGTACACAACACGATCAAATGAACAAGACTCCATGATGAACGAACTCAGATCAATGCCAACGGATGAATCGCACTCGAACAACAGCTTAATCCAGATCATGATCTGAATGATGAATGGCTTCGAAACGACGATTAAAGAACTTAACAATACGATCAAAGAGCTACGCGAAGAGATCCGAATTCTGAAGGAAGACCGACCTACGAATCATTCTAAGGAACGTCAAATTCCCCAACCCCAAACGGCAACTCAAAAACAACCAGCTTGGACAAACCCGTACCCAAAACAAACTCAGTCAGGACCACCAAAGCCTCCGCCAAAAAACACTGAGATAAACAAATTCAAACCCGCTACACTGATTATCCACAAACCACCTGGTCTCGAACCCTTCAAAGGCATGAAGTTCTCCAAAATAGTCCACAACATCAACTCAGCCCTCGCCTCAATCGATGCAAAAGTAAATGACACACCAGTTAGAATCCGAGGTGCTTCACTCCTCAAATCTGGTGATGTTCGCATGAATATGGACAACTGGCTCATGAAAAATTGGCTCTTAGAAAACAAACACATATGGACAAAACTTGCTCACAAAGACTTCGAAACCAGCCAAGCTAGATACCCCATTCTATTCGACTTTGTCCCAGCTGAAATTGACATAAACGACAAAGATTTCCCGAACAAACTCAGCCTAGAAAACGACATCCCAGTTGAAAGCATCCACTCAGTCAGATGGATCAAAGACCCAATTGATACTAACAAGAAACACGGTACAATAGTTCTCAACCTCTTAGATAAAGAACTAGCTCAAAAAATCGAAAAAGGCGGCCTATACGCAGACTGTCACTGGATTAAAAGCAAACACTATGAACAAGGCCCGACTATGTGCTTCAATTGTCTCGACTTATATCACACACACGCGTCATGTAAGAATCAACCTCAATGCGCCAAATGTGGCGACCCTCACAGCACTCGAGAATGCGCAAACAATGACTCAGATCAAGTATGCGCAAGATGCTATAACTTCAACAGCCTCAAAACTAATTGTAAGCTCGACCGATTCACAGAAAAATACAACCACTCCCCTAAAAGTTTAACTTGTCTGCTCCGTAACACACAGTTTAAAATTTCATCACCCATATTAATTGATGATGAGTTATAAAAGCCCTATTACACCACCCAACAGACCACCATCCCCACAATACCCAGACTCAGAAAACGATCCCTCGGATCAGTCCAGTACATCTTCAGATTTCCCCCTTTCCCTAAACCACCTATCGATCTTACATTTCAACTGCCACAATTCAATTCATCACACCCACGAAGCTCTCACATACACTCACTACTCAATTTTATCCCTTCAAGAACCCTGGTTCAACTCTCATTCACTAACTTTTCCACAACACGAAGCGTGGCACTGTATTTCATCATACGACTATTTTCCCAAAGACTGGTCAGATAGACCAAGAGTCTGCATCTACGTCACCAAGCTAATACCAACATCTCAAATAACAGTACTACCCAGTTCAACGGATATCATACTAGGGATCGAAATCAATAGCCCCACCCCGGTTCAACAGAAGATCAGAATAATCTCCTGGTACAACCCTCCTGGTTCTTTACATGGCCTCCTGACCCTTGAAGCTTGGATGAGGAAACATCACTCGCGGCAAGTCCCTACAGCAATCACAACCGACTCAAACCTACACCACTCCCTATGGAATCCACCTAATTATACGACCATAGACAACCAAGCAAGAAAAATGCTACATCTCTTCAGCTCTAAAGGCTTCAAACTAATCTCACCGAAGGGTATCCCAACGCGGTTCTCAACGGGTACCCAACCGACAACAATTGACCTAATATGGACCAGCTGGAATCTATCGGCGTGGGTGCTGAGCTGTAAAGTACTAACCAACAAGCTCGCCTCAGACCATTTCCCCTTAGAAACTTTTATAAATCTCACAATGATTCCCCCGATTGTGACCCATTCCTCTTTCAAACTTACTGACATAGATGTTTCCCTTTTTCACAGCTCAATAACAAACAAAATCTCAGATCTCCCCCCAGCTTTTGACAATCCACAGTCCATAGACACCGCAATAACAACTCTATCAACAGTCATCACTGAAGCAGCCCAAGAACAAGGTAGAAAAGTTAAAACGGATATCAAAAAGTACAAAAGCTGGTGGGATGTAGACGTCCTGACCCCGATCCTCAAAAATAGAAACAGAGCTAGACGCTGGTGGCTAAGATCAAACCTACCTGAAGCGAAGAAAAACTACGATGAGTGGCATAAGTACTTCAAAGAACAAGTCATCAAGTGCAAGGTGAACCATTGGAAGACCTACCTAGCCACGTGTTCAGGCAACGATACCTTCAAAGCCTTTAAATTTGTAAAGCCTAAGGCCACCGGTGAGATTGCTCCCCTCAAGAAATCGGATGGATCAATAGCCACGACCAGAGACAAACAAGCTCAACTACTCTACTACGGTACTTTGGTAGCTCACGTCAAAGCGGACCTCTCAGACATCGACCAAGTCAACTCCTCACAAACCAACCATAGACCAATGTTCTCGCCCGAAATCACAAAGGACGAACTAACTAGAATAATAGACTCCCACCCAAACCGCCGAGCCAATGGAGGTGATCAGATCTCTAACGAAATGATCAAAATGGCTTTCCCAGCCATCGAACAGCTCTTACAACATATCTTTAACGCCTGCTTTAAATTAGGCTATTTTCCAATCCCCTGGAGATCTGCAGTAACAATCATCATCAGAAAAAGTGGTAAGGATTCAGACTCGGAACTCAACTCATATAGGCCAATTGCTCTTCTTAGCTGTATGGGGAAGATCCTGGAAAAAATCATCACAAATCAACTAACTCACTGGGCGGAATCGAGAAAGAAGTTGGCGTCAGGCCACATGGGAGGCAGAAGACAACGCTCTACAGATGATGCTCTACTAATTCTCACGTCATGGATTAGAGAGAAATGGAGAAACAACGAAGTTGTTTCGGCAATCTTTCTAGACGTAAAATCAGCCTATCCGTCGGTCCACCGCGAACGGTTAATTCACATTCTCCAAAGTCAAGAATACCCTGCCTACCTCATCCAACTAGTTCAAGATTTCCTCTCAGAGAGATCAACATTCCTTCGTTTACAAGACTTTCAATCCGAGAACTTCAAGATCGACAATGGTCTTCCTCAGGGCTCTCCATTATCGGTCATACTATACATCATCTACAACTCCTCACTCCTCAACCCAACACCTCTTTCACCGACAGCAAGAAGCATATCTATCGGTTTTATCGATGATGTGGTTCACTTACACTACCCCAATAATAATATTTACCATGAGGTTTAGAAAAGTGGGGAGATATGTAACCTGGGTGTTGGGTATGTGACATGTAAGGAAAATAAATGTAATAGTCTTTTTAAAAGACTGCCGATAATCCATCCCAAAGGCCCTCCCAATTTAGTAAAGTCAACTTATCAGAATCTGAAAACTGTTGTACGGTCTGAGATTGTGAAAGGAAATACTTTTTTTCAGCGAGACACTTTGACAGTAACCCTGTGAGTTACCTTGAAGACACAAAGAAAAGTGTCGTCGGTGTATTCACAGATCAATATTTACCTACGTGATGTACATATATTGAATCTTGATTTTCTCTTCTTTCCTCGTTCCCTCAATTTACCCTTTCAAGCTTGATCAAGGAGTTGACTGACAACATCTCAATCACAAGATACAATTTCGAGTTTATTCCTTATTCTACGTACGAATCATCGAGATACAACTTTGGACGGGGGCCGCAACGATATCAATCAGAATTATCAGCTTGACTTGCAATGCGTTGTTTGGTCAATATCTTGCGTAGTTATGGGGTTGTCTCATGGAGATTGAGGTATGTTGGTTTTGCCCTTTTGTTTGTCTTTCACGTATCTGATCAGAATCATCCCTTTCAAAAATATCACTTGTATAGTAGCTCGAAAATACCTCGACGAATTTTCATTATCATGACATTGCATGCAACCAGCCCTTCAGAGTGATACCACGAAATCAATATTTCATCCGATCGATCAGCACATCTTGTCTCCATATATAAATTAGTCCACTGCGTTTGATTTTCGTCCTCTTGCTCCAACCTTTCCTTCATCTCCTTGTCAATTTCTCTCCTCTACCCCGTTTGCTAATTACCGGCGTAAGATTCAGGCTTGACCGTAGTTTGAATCAATCTCTCTCTTGATATAGTTCGTTATTGATATTTGTTTGTTCGATTTATACATTATACAGCTTTTGATCAGCTTCTTCCAACTCGTCACTTTACTCAATCGTTGAACATGACTCGCAGCAAGAATCGTAAAAACAGTGGTCAGGACGGAAACTCACCTCTCAGCCCAACAAATGTTAGCGATCAGACTGAAAAACCAGGGGCACAACCTTCCTCCGGATCATCTGCCCCCTTCCCTTCTGAACCACCATCAAATACGGTACCTCCCTTACGTGCGACTATGTCATCACATTCCAGCACCCACATATGGTCTTTGATTCAAACACTCCCCGAAGATCTACATGTCTTCCTCGAAGAAGATTATGAAGCGAAATACAAGAAGATCTTGAAAGCTCAATTTTATCGAATTTTAGTTCACTTTGACCCCAAGACGACATCTCGTATATCACATCTCAAAGCTGATCTTAATGCTGCCTTCAAAAAGAGCTTACGCCCACTACTTTCCGAGTTCATGATTCCCTGCCCTCCTCCCGCCATGGAAACGGATGAAGGTGACAAAGACCTCGATTTCAATCCTTTGGGCCGGAAAACCACCCGAAAGATGCTGTTGGACGCCATCAAACGCAAAGCTCCCAACGTTCCCATACCTACTAGTGCTAGGCGCGGTGGATTGCTTTTACTTTACAAACAGCACGTTGATAAGGACCTGGTGATCCCTGGTCAAACTGAGACCATTCGAAAACCTTCAGTTTTGAAAGCGAATGCGGTCAGTGGCGAGGACTCAGAAGAGCTTCGACTTGCCTTACAATGCTACGCACCTCAAGTATTTGTACATTCCATCCCCATGACTCATCAGGTTCTTGTGGATTGTTATCTACAATTCATCCTGGCAGCAAAATTGGAGCCTGGAGCCTTGGTCGCCGGGTTTCATTACTCAATCATATCCTAGTTTACAGCATTGTGAGTATCATGAGTTAGGTATGTTTTCAACTTTTGTACATGTTTCTTAGCTGGATTCAAGTGCTGAAACAATCTATTTATCTTTGGCTAATCTAGACAAAAGCAGATCACCGATCGGTCAATATTACAGATGGATGCAATCAATCGCATTACTGTCCAACTTGCTTTTTTTATCTTCGATTCAACCAATTTGTATTCCGATGTAGTTCCAGAAATTGTCTTTCCTGTGAAGTGTGGCTAGCTAGTGGGCTCAGATGCAGCAGGATCTGCATCAGATCTTTAGCAGGATCAATGGCTTTGCTTTAAGATAACTTCATAGTTTTAGATCGGTACTTGTTTCATGGTGTTGTAAGATACTAAAATGTCTCCCCTCCCGTCTCTCTTCTTGAATATTTGTGTGCGGCCTTTCAACTTGTTTCTTTTTCTTTAAGATCTTTCATAAACCACAAAACCGCAAAAAAATCCTTTCGTTCTATCTCTTTCATCTGTCTTTTTCAATTCACGAAAACTATAAAATGTCTGCTTCATCCAGGAAGGCAAAAGATGCCCACCGAGTAGTCTGTCGCTGTAAAGCCCGAGAATGTTACCGCGGCCAGTATATTGATGCTTACGGTCAGCCTCAAAATGGGGTTGAGGTGTTACCCTCTACTCGCGACGCTCACGCCCTTGCTGATCGGCGTAAGCAAGCACTCGGGGCAAATTCAGCCCCTGCTTCGTCTCCGAGCGCCCGTCAAGAAGATGCTGACGATCTGGTGGCGCCTTTTGAAAGACTTAATCTTCCAAACAATCATCTGCGCGAGCAACCTTCTGCCACTGATGCTCCAGAGTTACTTACAAGGCTTGCAAGAGCCTCTCAGGGCTCTTCGCGCTCCGCGTCTAGTACCACTGAACGTATGGCTTCAGCAAATCTCACCCCAAAAGACATTGAAGAGGTAGATGCGCATCAAAACAATACAACGGGTTCCATGATTCCGCCTTACGATTGTGGTACGTGATGGGCAGATTGCTTTGCTACTTGACATACGTTTCTAAGCCATGGTATATACTCTTTCTCCGTAGATCATTTTTTTAAGTTCAGCTTGAAGGAAATCAACCCTCTTCTGCTTCACGTGGCGTTGTCAACTTCGATCATGAGCATATTCGATAACCTGTCTGGTCGAACAGCCTCTTGGCTTATGGATGTACATCGCATCACTATCGAACTTTCAATGAGTACAGGCCTCCTTCCAAACAACTCTACTGGAGAGCTCTCTCGCTCAGAACTCAAGCTTTTTAGCCGGATTCCAAAGACATTGGCCACTGCAATTGGGTGGCTGAACATTGATCCACGTTGTATGTTGATGAATTGCTGTACAAAGTGTTTCGCCATGTATCCACTTGATGAAGCACCAGAAATCTGTACTCATCGAGTCGCAAGTATTCCTGGCGGCCCTCCCGATTCGCCCAATCCCGATATCAAAACCAGTGATAATGTAGACAAGTTTGAACCTGACCTTTCTGAAGCAACCTGTCTTGCCCCCCTCTTGAAGTTTGCGAGGGGAAAGAAAGTTGCAATAAGAAAATATGCCGTACAAGATCTTTCTGATTGGATTGCACGTTTATTCTCACGTCCAAATATCGAAGAATGGCTTGAAGAATCACTTCTCGAATCTAGAAAACCATACGATAAAGACGAGTCCATATCGGATATTCACCAGTCAAGAGTCTGGAAAGAATTCAAAGGAGCTGACGGCAAGCAATTCACAGCTACCAGCGGTAGCTGGTGTTTGCGATGTTTGTGGATGCAATCAACCCGTTTGGAAATAAAACCAGTGGACACCACGTGTCCATCACTTTCATCGTTATGGTGTGTCTGACTCTCCCGGTCAAGATTCGACATAGACCGGAGAACGTCTTTTTAGTCGGGATTGCACCAGGTTCTCGAGAGCCATCACTTGAGCAGACGAACTGGATCTTACGTCCAATCGTGACACAGCTTCAGAGGATATGGAGCCCTGGAGTTCTACTTTCTCAAACCTATTCCTTCCCACATGGACGCCTTGTGAAGGCTGCGCTACTACCGTTTGTAGCTGACATCCCGGCCATAAGACGTTCACTTGGCTTCCCAAGTGCTACTGCATCGAACTTCTGTTCAGGATGCCATCTGATCAAAAAGGAGATCGACAACCTTGATCCCAGTACATGGCGTCTCCGTGATAAAGAGGAGCACAAGAAGTGGGCATATGAAGCTTGTGATGCAGACAGTGTGGAGGAGCGTCAGGAGATTTTTAAGACGCATGGTGTACGTTATTCAGTGCTTTTAGAGCTTGACTACTGGAACATCATAGACTTTCACGTTGTGGATTCAATGCACAACCTTCTATTGGGTCTCCTATCGTGGCATCTTCGAAGATTCTGGTCTATGAGTGATGTTCAAAATGAAGAAGAGACTCACCTGCCGGTTCCCACTTCGGAGCTCTTACAGCTTCTAGCTGAACACTCCGACCCCCTTCCACCAAAAAATTACGCGAAGGAAACTGAGACTGCCGATGAAGAAGTTCAAGACGAAGAGGAAATCGAGTTTAGTGATAACACTTCAACCAGTGATGAAGATTTTGAACCCCTGGCTGATGTTGGATGGAAGGGAGTGTGGGAAGCTCCACCAACAGAAGAGATCATTTTCGACGCTTCTATGCTTAAAATGATTAACACTCTTCTACCCCGAATACAAATACCGTCTTGGATCAGACGAGCCATACCTGTCCTAGGGAAAGCCTCGTTTGGTAAACTTAAAGCTGACGAATGGAGAAATTTATTCTCAACTCAGCTACCTTTGATACTTATACCGTTATGGGCTGTGAAAGATCAGAGCAAACTATCCTTGCTCAAAAACTTTTGTGATCTTGTATCACTTGTTAATCTGGATCTCAAACGATCTATCTGCATAGCTCAAATTGACAGATATCGATCACATATCCAAAATTATCTCAAGGGTTCGTTAGCTCTTTTCACGCACTGCCATCTTGCACCAAACCACCATATGGCAATACACTTGGCCGACTGTCTTGAGCGGTTTGGACCGGTACGGGCGTGGTGGTCTTTCCCCTTTGAGAGGCTTATGGGTAGCATACTCAAGGCTTGTCATAATAATCATGTCGGTGAGTCTAATTTTATGCTTTCAAAGATATATATTTCTACTCAGCTGACAAGTCTCTTGAAAAACAAAATCACCAGGCGAGCTGGAGATGACTTTCCTTCAAAATTACTGTCGAGCAGGCAATATATCTACCCTGATGAATGATAATAAGCTACCAGACGCTCTGGCCCCATATAAGACTAGGCTAGAAGCACTTTACGATTCTCCAAATCCAAAGTCCAAGCCTTTGTCAAATTCGTCTCGGCAAGCACTCAACAAAGATGTACTGAACCTTCTTGTGAAGCGTTTGAATGAAGAAAAAAACAAGAAATGTACATGGATACTTCCAGAAGACTGGTGTTTGCTATCAAAACATGAGTCTAAAGGTTATGCACCAGTCGCAGCTCACGCACATTTTTTGAAACACCTTGTGCATGGAGATGTAAAATACTCAAGCTTTACAGAAAGCCCTAAGAACAGTTTTGTTCTCTTCAAATCTTTTTCAGGTGATCATGAAGCCACTGAGTTTGGTGGAATATTTTCAATATTTACTCATCACCGGACACCAACATCTTCAGAAAATATACTCGATACATGGTTACACATTCAACGTTTTCCCCATTTACCACCGGGGTCATACAATCCTTTCGCTAGATTACAAGCTGATGACGTACATTTCAATATCCGTGCTTGGGGAACCACAGAAGACATGATTATAAGGGAGGATGAGGTGGTTGCCCACTGCGCATGGATGATGTACAGACCTGGTGAAATCCATAAGCAATTACGAGTGCCGACAGTTGCACTAGTATCATTGGAAAGATGATTGTATGCGTCAGATCATTTACAAATTGGTAGAATTACTTGATGATGGCGACTGTAAATGAAATATGATGTGACTTACATCATGAAAGAGCATTGATAGCATCTGAAATGCGTGGTATTATAGGAGATTGATCGATCTCCAATGTACTGCGCTCAAAAGGTGAGAGCGTGGCGAGCCACTCTGATGAGTAGCAGTCGATAGGTAGTCCAGCTGGCGGTTTGAGCGGACTATCTGGAGCATTTTCTGTGCGTAATCTTGGTCGAGGCGGTCGGCCGTGTGTATTTTTTGGAATACTCGAAGTTAACATTGCTTTGTAAGCATCTAAAGACATAAAGACTTGCTCTAATGCTGAGCTGCGCCATTGAAGCTTCCTAACACGGCATGGAATTGCTGGACGCAGCTTGTTCGGAGATTCAGTCTCGTTGTTGGTTTCATCGTCACTACAGGCTACTTCGAGAATGTTAGAAAGACAAAAGAGTGACTCTTTTGACAGCACAATCTCATCCCGTAAGCTTTTGAGCTATTGATCAGTGAAAAGATGGTGTCAGCAGCCTTTTGAGAACAGATCTATGGCTTGAAAGTTGACTTACATGCCTCATTCTAGCCTTTCGTCGTGTTTCGTCCACAACTTTTTTTTTTCGTTCTTCATCCCAGTTTTGCTGTCTATACCTATCAATTTGAACAGGTAAGTTTGGATTCTTGGCCTTTGCGCGCTAACTTTCAACAACGTATTCTGACCTTTTCGATAGAGAAGTCACGTAAGTTGACATACATCTCTTGATCTGTGCAGAATTTTCAGGGGCCAGCGACACTCCATTATATTCGCCGCACTCCACCAGCTTTACAAAAATCTGCAAAGCCAGGTTCCAAAGCCACCGATTATCCTCGGAATTGGAGGACTCTGAAAAGTTAGGTCGAAAAGACAACACCCCCACAGACTTCATCATGCGCCACATGACAGTCAATTGAGATGGAGTTGAGTTGATATGACCAGGACCATCAGGGTACGGGTAACATGGATCTGCAGGTTTGCGCCCGGAAGGTTGTAGGGGAGAACTCGAATCGTCGTCCAAGCCAGCTGGATCGGTTTCGAGCATCCAATTAGACTTCTCCTCTTCGCTTGCTGGTGGTGGAAGTAGAGTTTCATGAGGGCCCAGTCCTAAAAGTGTATCAATATGAAAGCGCATATGCGACTTCATGGGATATTAAAGTGGGAGTTGGACCTTTATTCTGAAACAAGTAGAGTGAGAGAGATGGTGAAGTGAACTTACAGCTGTACGACCACCACATGTCTTTTTTGGACTATCACTTTGATCCATTTTGAGGCTGCTTACCGTCTTTGACAGATATCTCAAATCATTGGTCAAAGAATCCACCTTTTCATTCAGTTCATTTGTTTCACGCTGAAGGCGCTGAATGAGGACTGAATCTTCGGCAACCTTACGTTTCAAATCATCTAATGTCCATTCTTCAGCTTGAATGCCTTCATCAAAAATACTATGAGTGGGGTTACCCGATGTTGTAGGACCCGGCTTTGCATGTGTTGAGGATCGTTCAGGCCTTTCTGAGGGTGCAGGAGATTTTGTCGACGGAGCAGAATTAAGGCGTTTACCAACTTTCTGCCGGTGATGCAGATTTGAGTCCTGATTAAAAGATATATCTGATTGATCATCAGATATACTATTGAACTCCCACTCGCTTTCCTTGTCGTCATCGGACTTGCGTTTGTTCGATTTCTGGTTTACTGAATTTGAAGACACTTTTCGAATAGTTGGATTTGGGCGGGGGTAAGACAAACGGCCGTGCTCTAAGCTCGGGAAGAAGAGAGCAGAGGGCTTTGAAGTTGAACTAGAATCGCTGAGATTTTGAGAAGGAGTCGCCGAGAGAGGATTTTTGGTGGATTGAGTGTCCTTAGATGTGGAAGCTCGAGTGGAAGCGCCAGTACGCGCAACACTATCACCACTCGGCATGTCTGACTTACAAAATTGTGTAATTGATAGGCTTCAGAATTCATATCAACTTGAGGGAATGTTCAGAAAACAAAACTTACCTGTGGGACGAGTCTCCGAGTCCATGTGAGATGTAACTTCTCTACCTTTGCCCTTCTGTGAGGCTGTCCGATTCAAAGACGGAGTTACTGACAATTCTTGTCGAGTCTTTGAAGCACCACGTGAGCCGCTTATCTCTGCGAGAGATGGTTTTCTTCCTTTGGACTCTTTGATGGATGATCTTGATGATGGGTGTTGAACTAAAGCTGGCGATGAATCCGGACCTACATTTGGTTTTGTAGTTGAAGTGCGAGACGACCTACGGCTGGACATGCGAGGGATCGGTTCCAAAGAGGCGCTGTCGGCTTTTAGACTGGTCGGTTTGGTTGGGATGTCAGAGGATGACAAAACTTTTGAAGTCGGCTCTGATGAAGTCGAGACAAGCGGATCTTTCTTCTTTTTGCTAGGCTTCTCCTTCGGAATCGAACGCATGATACGTGGCACTTCAGAGTCGGTCTGTACCACCTGGGTCTCCTCGTTGATTGAATCACTCAAGGAAGAATCTTTGATGGGCCCCGAAGATTTGATCGAAGTCTCTGATTGACTCGGAAGAGTTGACCGTAATTCTGTGTGTGCATTGGTTGTGGATGGAGTTGACTGTAGTTCTGTGTGTGTATTGGTTGTGGATCGAGGAAGCTGGGATCCACTGAAAGGGATTTCGACAGTGAATGTTGAAGAACGATTGAAAAGAGTTGACGACTCCGTAATAGGGACTTCACGCAAGAATTCTGCTGGAACAATAACTGTTTGTAATCACATCAGCAATTGGTCGATGTTCTGATTTAAGAAGAAGTGATTGTACGATTGAAATGATACTCACTCAGGTCGTTGTAAGCCTGGCACTGACTTATCAGTGCGTCTCTATTCAGCGCAGCTGTTGCGACTCCAACATCACAAAGTAAGTGTGCTAGCTGGGTATCGTTAAATTGAGAGAAGTTGACCGTAGGTGCTTGCACTTCATCCGCAGGTGGACCGGCAGGTAGGACAAGAGGTGCAGTCAAAGGTAATGGTGGTTCGGTTTGTCGTCCTCGAGTGATTTCACTGGCGGGTTTGATTCGCTCTTGATTGACATCTGCTTGGAACCTCTTTCGCTGCACGTGCTTGTCAAGAAGCTGCAAAAGCCCGTTCCGAGTTGTTTTACGCCCAATCGGTACACCAACCTTACCCAGACTTACAGTAGCCTGACTCAAAGGGACCTGCCCGTCTATCGAAAAAAACGGCGAGAACATCAGTTCCATGAGAGTTGAATTGAAAATTTAGACAACTGACCTTTGGGATCATCGGACTCCGATTCTACAACTTTTCTTTTTCCCATTTCGCAACGATAGAGATACTGACTCCAAAGAAGATCTCCTCGCTTGAAAAGATGAACCTTTCCGGAAAAGATGTACCTCTAGTTGATTAAAGACGTTATACAGTTGAGTGCAAGGGATAACACCAGACCCGCTGGGAAAGTTATATATGAGTGATCGGAAACGGTTAGAAGAGATTTAGTGGTTATTGAAAAAAAATAAAGATAAAAATTTGATTGGAACGAGCATGCGATTTTATATAATGTAACAAACGATTTTCGAGGTTGTAGATCTCAGATGGAATTCAAACATGTTCAGAATAAAGCAATGCCACAGGACCCGCCTGTACATAAGTTTTGATGAAGTCAAATGGATAAAAATATTGGACAAAAGATCGATGAAAGTACTGGTGATCATAGACCTTGGCAATTTAAGTCAGATGGTTGTTTCATGGCTGCGCAAAAGGGAAGATTGTGATAAATTATCAAAGGATTTCTAATATCAGACTGGTCACCGGCAACGCAACATGCTGACATCACTGATATTCACGGATATAGATTAAACAAAGGGGTCTCCTACAAGATCACTTGCTCGTGCCTTTCAGACAGATCTCTCGATACAAGATAACAAAACCAACATTAGAGAAGTGAGCAACTGATAACACCATTCAAACACACAAAGTTATAATTATAATATACTTGAGCACAAAATTGGTAACTTTGGAAGTCATGATAGGAAAGTCATACAGTTGTGATTTCGATTTCAGGGTGGCAGAGATTTTTTGAGTGGAGGAAGTTGATCAGAAGACAAGACGTATGTTCTCAATGCTAAACCGGTGAGTGTGCTTGCGTATGATAGCATTGATCAAGGGGTTCGAATACCTGCTTTCATTTTATTTGTACATGTATCATTGAAGTGTGGTATTATAAAGCAGTGTCAGTTTATTACCTCTGATCATCTAGCAACACTGCCTGACACTCACCCGCCATACTGATTCGACGCAATCCCAACACCTTACTCAAAAGCAAGGCTGTCCACCCTATCATTTACAAGTCCATCACAGTCTGGTCAGAACACAATGACTGGCTATATTTTGGGTCCAATGAGAGATGAAATAAGAAACACTAACCTCGGTTCTAAGCCGCAGCATGGGCTTCACCCTGATTCAATCCACCGTTACCAGCATTGTTGGCCTCAGGCTCTGGCTCTTGCTGCAACTCGATTTGGTAAGGAACATCAAAGGAGTAGATGATTCCGCGGTCTTTATCAAAAACGTGTGGTGAACGAAGGATAGGAACCACATAGTAGAGGAATGAGTCGACAAGTTGAAGCTTGGTTTGAAGGCGAATTCTAGGGATCGTATCATGATGAAAACACTTCAACAATTCACGAAGATTGTTTGTAGTGCTGTTTCGATGTTGGATAACAGATATATCAAGAGTAACAAGTTCTCGAAGATGACTAGGTATATTGTATATATGAGTTGGTGGAGGAAGCGCGGCAATCTGGTTTTCTGGGGTTGCTGCATCGCCTTGAACGTCGAAAGGATACATTTGCGGAAAATTACCAGCAGATAAGTCAGGAAAAGACATGATGTTTGGGAGAGTTCTAACAAGTAAAGATATCAATAAGATAATTTTGTATTGAGTGTAGTTGTAGAGAAGTTGGAGGGAATTCTAAGAAACCTTCACAAGAAACACTGGTTTTATAGTTGAGAGGTGCTGCCTCTAGACACTCGTTATCTGAAAACAATCAAGAAAAAAAGACATCGTACGTCACGTATAGTACCATCACGCTTGCCATTCTTTGGAAGTATTATGGAAGTTTGACTGAGACAAACATTAATTATTGTAAATCTCATTGTCTCGACCCATCATGATATAATGATTACATTACTGTTCTAATTAGAACGGATGTTAGAAGAGAATCGAAGACTTTGCCCTCCCAGATTCTTCTCATCAAGAAAATTCATGTCGATCTCACATTTCTACATGACTTGAGTCCAAAAAAGCCAGAAATCCACAGGGTACGGGTGAGGTGTCTCATTCACCTGTGGTCTCAGTATATATAGACTATTATATATAATATGAATCATATTCCTACAGTACAGGATTCATTAACTTTTGACGTACTCCATGATCTGATCCGTGCTTCTAAGTATAGTAATCTCCCTCTTGTATATGTTCAATGATAAGTGTGTACATAATGAATTGAGGACCCACACGCCCTCATTAAGACACAGATCATATGATTACAACCATGCCGTGTCCTTGAATTATAGATAAATTTCATTATGGTTATATATTGTCTTAGGAATGTAGACAATATACGCTGTGTAATATAGATCCCGAGTTATCTCGGGATATCTAGATAAGTCGAGATAGAGATTCCAAGGAGAATAGTGGACCCACACGCCCTCATTGAGACACGGATCTTATGATTACAATCATACCGTGTCCTTGAATTATAGATAAATGTGATATTGTCTTAGGAATGTAGAGAATATTGCATATAGATCCCGAGTTATCTCGGGATTCCTAGATAAGTCGAGAGAGGGATTCCACGGATTGGGTCTGAGACCAACACTTTAATTAGATGAAACCCGTCTTGCACGTTTTGTCAATATTTGGGATTATTGAGTTGCAAGATTCAGACTCGATAATCATTAACCAGATAGAAGAAAATAAATGGTAAAAGTACAAGATAAAATACAGATCACGGCTAGGTACTTGACAAGATCAAAGACAAAAAGAATCCAATTCAAGTAATGGTGCAGAAATTCAGCCACTAGTACATCTTTTAAAAGGTTTCAGACCAGCTGTACCTGTTAATTCAGCTGTAAATTCATCTGTCTAGCAGAATTACAACTCAGAGCTGATAATTGAGCCATTCTCGTCATCTTCGTCTAGACTCATTAAACCTTTAATAACTTCTTCCGGGACTTTGATGTCTTCAACTATGGTACTCATCTGTGCGCAAAGGTCTGTCAATTGAGATTTTAAGTTTGTGACAGAGTCTTTCAGCTGTCTGATATCTTCAATTTTATGTTCCAGTCCTCCAACCCGCACTGTGAGGAGACGGACTTTATCAAAAGAAACTATGAGCAATCAGAAACATATCATTTGATCGCAAAGAAAGCACACATACTTGCTTCATCTTGCCGCATCTCTTCTGCTAAAGCGCTCAAATCGGACTTTTCATTTGTCTCCATTCTCACTCGAAGCTGTTCCACTGCGTCCTCTAACTCTCGAACTGACCAAAGGCAGAAATTCAATGAGATATTGATGTGCAGAAAGAAAATAGATCTACTGACTCTTCTGTGCTTGCCGTCTTTCTTCCTGGAAGACTTCAACACCAGACTTGCTCTTGAGACTTTTACCTGAAACCGACGCGGGTGGCATTTCAATAGGTGGAATATCATGTCCATTGACTGTTTGAATCAAAAATTGAGCTGAAGTTCAAGAAAACGTGATTAAGCTTGTTGTATGTAACTTACCTGGATTTGGACTGTCCATCCAGTTTGTCTCTGACATGTCAATGAGAGGTGGAACATGATTTTCGGCTTTGACCAAAGCCTCAATTTTGACAGGTATATTGATTGACTTTGACATCGATGTTGCAGATGTGACTCGATTAAGATTTGTACCTTTAAGTTGGGTACGTTGAGGTTTTGAGGGTCTTGAAAGCTAGAGATATACACATCTTGATCAAGAAACATCTTGCGTGATCTCTAAAAAGATCAGATGACTGACCACTTTGTCTTTCTTGCGTGACTGGGATGGGTCTGGTAAGATGGTGGCATCCCCTATATGAACAAGTCTTATCAGTAAATATTTCCAGTTTGGCCAAGCCAAAAGCAGAATGACCAAGCGGAAATCCTCACCTATGTCTGAGCGCTTGAAAAATCGCCCACAATTGAGCTCGTCAGATGCTGTTCGTTTTTTCTTCACTTTGATATTTGTGCTGGACTCCAAGTCTGGAGGAGGCTCAAGATGCGCTGTTATCGGCACCGAGGCATTTTCCTGAGCCTGGGAACAGTACATAAAAGTTAGCCTTAGATGTAAGGTTATGTAGACGCACAGGAGAAGATGTCATACAGATGATGAAGTGCTATGAATGGGTGTGGTCGAGGTCTCGAATAGTGGTGCGAATAGTCCGGGTGTTTGAGTGCCTGGAGTTAAATCGACAGCAGGAGCTTCACTATTAGGATCGGGAAAATCTGGGTGAATTATGATCCATATACAACATATACATGATTAGCGAATTCTGACAATGATCAATATCGGTTCGAAAGGAAAGAACTTACACTCTGGTTGCATCTCACGGACCATTTTAGAAACTTCGTTTTTGGTGATTCCGGACTTGACGGGTGTCTGTGGGTGATTAATACGCATCCAATCAAGCATAGTCTGCTTGCTCATTCCACGGCTGCTCGGGTAAAGCATCAGAGTGTAGTAGATTATGAATAATTGATTGATCGAAGATGAAAATAGTTGAATACAGAAGTCGAAAGATAAGTCGTTGGTGGGGATGAAAACAGTTAATCACGAGGTTCAAGAAGCTGATGAGAGAAAAGATCGAGACTGGGTTGAAGAGAGAGAACAAGAATTGCATTGAAGAGAGGTCGGATGATCTACAATATATACTCAGAATCTTAGTACTGGGATTATAGTCATGAGGGTAAGAGTGTGGGTTTTGTGGATTACTCATCTTATGATCGAAGTTTATGATGACCTCGGCCGTATCCAACGAGTCATTTATTCATGACATCGTGACAAATTAGTGATAACCGAGATACCTACAGGAATATTTTTGAAAGGGACCTTGATCAGAACTGATCTATTGTAATGTGAAGAAGAAACAAGATGGTTTGAAAGTGACATACCTTGATCAACTTCATGAGATAACCTGCGATGCCATGACAACCGTGCGAATCTGAAAGAGTTCGAAAGACAAGTTTGAAGTACAAGATGGGCTTGATCTTGAAGTCAAAGAAATTTGCTTAGTATCATGAGAATTAGCTACGTGAAAAAGAAAGAAAAGGTTGGAAGAAAAGATACCTTCATCTGCATGAGATAACCCTATGCACATCCATGCAGCATATCAAACGACGATCCTCATGATTGACTCACCGCGGGCCACGTCAAAACACATATGTATAATGGTTTAAACAGTTATACATATCTTACATAATACATACCCAACACCTGGGTTATGTAATCCCATACTTTTCTAAACCATAAGGTAAATATTATTATTGGGGTAGTGTTAGTAGCATCAAAATCACTCGATACAAACATGAACCTTCTTAATCAACAAGCCGAACACTCCTTAAATTGGGCTAAGACTCATGGAGCAATCTTTGATAAGAAGAAAGCTCAACTTATCCACTTCACGAACAAAAGAATTAAAGACTTCCCAGGATTTCTCTTCGGTAACGTTCAACTTAAGCCAAAACAAACAGTAAATTGGCTCGGGGTATGGCTAGACACCAAACTTTTCTTCAACCATCACCTCCAACAAGTTAAGAAAAATGGTAATTTCACTATTTCCCAGTTACAACGACTGAATAAGTGCTACTCTGGACTATCACCTGGTGAAGTTAAGAAACTTACACTGGCCATACTGCTCCCCAGAATATTGTACGGGAGCATAGCATGGCTAACACAAAAAACCTACAACAAAGCTAACAAAATTATTTCACAGATACAAAGCTCTGCTCATCGAGTCATTTTAGGTGCCTTCAAAGGAACCTCGATCGAAATGCTGAACCATGATGCTTACATTACACCTTTCACACTAGTAGCCACCAGACGCCATCATTCCTTCCTCCTCAAAAGATTAACAGCTCCTGACGACCACCCAACCTTATCTTTCATTCGTCACGAACTAAAGTCCTCACCTAAAGCCCATAAGGGACCAATCCAAGACGCTCTACAATTTCAAGACCTCCGTAAACTAACCGAGGAGAAGGCAGAGACGATTTTCGCCCATTCTCTGGCTCCATGGACCACCAATTTAGGCCACCTGATCAATTTAGACAAGTCAAAAGATGAAGCTACGGAACTTGTCCCTAAACAAGTTGAAGAAGAAGAAAACAAGAACGCACTGGTTATCTTCACAGACGGCTCTGTTAGTGAGGAAGGAGGAGGTGTCGCTGTGGTAACTAAAACAAGCCAAAGAAGCATTTCAATTAATTATAAATCCAACTTCTCGAATTATGAAGCTGAACTCTTAGGAATCGTAGAGGCGACGGAGCTAGCAAATACCCTCTTCAGGAGCCACCACCCACCTTTAACTGATCTAGCGATCTTTAGTGATAACCAGGGAGTATTAAGATTGATTCATGATGCCCCAAGACAATCCTCAGGACAACATCTAGTAATTAAGATACGCACTAACCTCCGAAAACTACCCACTAACGCAGATATTAGATTTTATTGGACACCAGGACACACAGGTATTGAACTCAACGAGAAAGCAGACGAACTAGCAAAAAAGGCAGCAACTAACACATCCAACCAAATCGACATTCCAACAAGTTTGGGAAGTTTCAAAAAGAGAACTCATGAACAAGTCAACATCAAGAACATCATTTTCAAACCTAGTAAAAATCCGTACTCAACTCACCCAAAGGAAATTTCCAAAGAGCTGATGAGCTTGGAAAAAGGAAGTACAGCTGTGATCTTCCAATTGAGGGCCAAACACAGTCCCCTAAATGACCACTTATTTAAACGAAACCTGTCAGATTCCCCCCTATGTCCCAAATGTCTTGTTAAAGAAACCACTGAACACTTTTTGTTGTATTGCAAACAATTTTCTAGGGCGAGAAAAACACTACGAAACACCATACGAAAAGAGAAAATCAAGGTCAATTGGTCAAATGCGAAGAAGCTCCTAGACACTCCAAAAGTTTTCCCATTACTAGGCAATTTCATTCTCAAAACAGGCCGTTTTATCCATTTCCACTCATATCTTAAGGACAAGGTCCCGAAGAAGACGATCACGAGGCAGGCTTACGAAGTGACAAGAGAAGGAAATCAAACTTACCGTCTCTCAAAGAGGAAAAAAAAAAAAAAAGCTCATTAGATCGATGTTCAATCCCATCAGGGTTCGGTCGACTCCTCTCTAAGGATTGGGTTCATAGTCCTCCGAAACATCAAGATCAACAGTCTCCGGACTATAAAAAACTACCACCTGTTATGTACTGAATTATGTTCAATCCCCTGAGGGTTCGATAACCTCCAGGTAACGCCCTGGGCACATAGGTTATCAAGACATATATTCAAAAGTCGCAGTGGACTCTAAAACACAAGTAGTACATTAGGTTTTGTGTTCAATCCCATTCAGGGTTCGGCGACCTCCAAGTTCCGCCTTGGGAAAAAGGCGTTCGAGACACATCTCAAAGGGTCCTGCTTTTCTAGCTCTAAACACCCACTTGGACAGTATTCCTACAAGGATAAGCAAGAAGTTTCTTGAGACTAATGACCCAAATATCACTCCAAAAGATTGATAGGGGACCATCGCTTTCCTGCGGGTGGGCTAAATGCCTAAAGATGGTTTTTAAAAAAAAAAAAAAAAAAGAAGAGCAATAAAATCCTTTTTCTAATCTCGAGAACGCAAAGTATAAAATTTCTTTCTCTCTGTCACCAAGTTTCCTGTTATCGACTAGATGGCCGCTCTTTTAAGGTGTACTAGTTACCTAAAATTACATGTGTTGATAGTGTTGTATGCAATAAAGCCAAAAGCACTTTAAAAAAAAAAAAAAAAAAAAAAAAAAAAAGGCTAGTCTCAACCACAGCTTGATCCGCCCCGGCCCCAGGGCCCCCCAGTCCAAAAAGTCTGCTGTATGCTGCCCATTTTTTCTGCTGGTTTTCAATTGCCCACACATGCAGGCAATGACCCTTGACTAAACATCCATATCTCTTACTTTCTTTCAGACTCAATAAGGGAGCTATTAACCCTAGTTACCTTGTAATTAAATATGGACCGTCATTTATTAGAACTTTAAGATTTCTAATCAATCACGTAGTATCTTCTCTGATACGCCAGTTTCTGTCTTTATTTCATTACTACAGTGTTGCTAAGTGTACGCTTGTATACTCTACAAGTGTTTGGGTGGGGGGGTCTTCCTAAACCCCACGAAGTGCAAATACAGGCTTTATTGAAGAAGCCGCATAGGGCAGCTGATTGATCCCTAATTATTTGCAACAAGGGGTTAGGGAGTCCCGACACCTAGATGAGACTACAGGATAAACAGGAAGAGCATGAAGTGAGGGGTTAGTGATATACCCAAAACTCGGATTTATCAATAAGCCTGAGCCAGAGCTAAACCCACACTTATGATCAATCTGTTCCTTATCTGCCTCTTCATTCAGCATTTTTATTATTGAGACTGTTTTCCTTTTATCGTCATTGGAGTAATCTCTTAAGTATAACTTGTAACAGTCTGGAGGTCCAGCGTCCTAGACATTTGATGTCATCTTTTGAAACACCCAAATTCAATCTCAGAGAAGCACCGCCTACTCTAAATGAGTGGCCCAAAATTGAATTCCAAACCGTGAGCTTTCCATATCTGTTGGCATCTATTAACAAACGGCACTTTCTGGTTAAGTTTAAACAATTTCCTTTCTTGTTGTAATAACCAAACAGAGCTTCTCTTGGGTCTTGTATAAGACTCTAGTCGTTGTAGTATGGCTTTGACCGGGCA